ACATTGCTGGCCCCATTTACTTCCATTCTTAAGCCTAAAAGGAAAAGATTGAGTAAGAAACAGAAATCTTCTAAAGGGACCGGATCTACATTGCTGGAACCCCTTACTCCCATTATCTCAGATGAGATATATGAGAGCACACCCCGCAGTAATCACAAGCGTGATAACTGTTCTAACCGTCGACACAGTGGTTCGACTGGCACATCAGCCATTAATGAGGACGAGAGAAAAGCCTTTCCCAACTCCCATATATTCTTTGGTCCCTTCCAACAAGAAGAGGAAGTAAAGCAGACTAATTTAGGGAATACCACTAAACCTGTTTCCCCTATTTCCCTTGATGCGATTGCATACAAAATAGAAATAGTTAGTTCTGACTTTTCGCCCAAAGTAGTTGACTGCGATGGTAGCGTCAAATCCCCTTATTTGCCCCCACTAGACTTGGTATGTGAAAGCCAGACCAGGGCGGCGATAACAGATAAGGAGGATAGTTCTCTTAAGTTCTTGACGACCTTAGAGACAGTGAGTAAACAGGACATTGCTGCAAGTCCTGTGCACTCTGATACTGGACAGACAGAAAAATGTTTGCCATTGATGAAGAAGAAGGTACTTCTTGTGTGCAGGGAGACAAATTGTCTCTATCCTGTACAGCTGGGGCGACAGGGATACTTCTGATGAAGGACCCTGAAGCGGAACAAGCCATTAGTAGTAGGGAACCCCAACATTCTGGTCTTGTATTACTCTTCGCTTCGAAGGAAGTGACAGGGGTATCTCAGCTGATAGTGGAAACTTCATTGCGAAGAAATGCCACTTTACTGTCTGCAGGAAACCCTGAGTTTCCTAATGATTTGACTGTACCCCCCTGACTTGATTTCGTGCTCTGATTCTGGACTGATCTTAATGAAAGATAATTCCACCCGGACAATTTGTAAAACAGAAAGGATGCACCGAGGAGGAAACCAGTGGACACTCCTTCAAGAAATCGGCAGTGGTCAGTTGCACTCACGGCATGCTGTCATGATGAGTGACTATATCCCTCAATTTGAGAGGAGATTAGTGACAGATTTTTTCAGGATCTGTAGATGTAGGAAAAGAAAATCCTACCTGACTACAACTCATCCTTTTCGGAGAGCACTTCAGGCCCTCCCTATGCTCATAGGGCGTGGCGAAGTGAGGAAATGGACAGGGACTGTCAGTCAACGATGTCGAGGAATCCCATTGTTGAAACGGAGATTATTTCTTATCCTGCGGGAGAAGAAACCTCCAGATAAATGGATATTACGGAGCGGCTGCTCAGAATACCCACATGATTCTAGGACTAAGGACTTAGCCTGGAATGAGGGACAACTGGTGACTGTACATCGATGCAGGACATCACGATTCCACAAGGAATACTGGAACAATACTGGAGATGACAGGTTGTACTAACATTCTTGGGAATCACTGAGTATCGTAAAATTGGTCTTAGTGGCTGCGACCAACTTAACGGAGGGCCTGTCACGAAACGATCTCAGTGATTCCAGAAGTTAGTACTTGTAATAAGTTCTTCTGGTTCCAAAGAGAGAGGATTATATTTACTCTGCCCTTTACCCTAATATTACTTTAAACCAAATTGATTTAAATGTTACCAGTCCTTCTCCCAGACAAAGCCACTGCGCTTTGTTTAAAATTACCTAACACTACGTAATACAGCCCGCTGGTTCAGACTAGGGATGTGAGGTTGGATTCTCACGCCAGTGTCAGAATGTTATCTCCTGACCAGACTGTAGAGATTGAGCGGACTGTAGACATTGAGGCGACGAGAAGTTTAAAGTTTAACACGTCAGTGTAATTCTGGAGAGAACCGCTGTTTGGCAATTAGGAATGTTTTATCTTGGTCAAGGTCGTACTGTAGGCCGTTCACTGTGAGTGACAGGTCACTGGTTAGCCAAGTGATCTGATAGTTACCTCAGGGGCGGTGCTTAAGCCATCATCTTGAGGGTTGGGTAAAAACTAAGGAAAGGGAGGAGTGTAATTTGGACAATAGATTAATCCTTATACTGCGGGCATCGTAGATTTACCTCATAGTGCCGCCAGCAGGCCACAGACTCAGACCTACCGTTGAAAAGTACTTTCTCCCTGGTTGAGTCGTGTTCGGCATTTGCTGGAAAAGTTCCCAGCGCCCATGTGACGATCAGTCCATGAAGTAGCCTACATTGTGTTAGACTCGGCCAGCTGGGAACGAGGTGGAGAACGAGGTTGGGGCGAGAAGGAGAAACAAGCAGGGAAGAAGCTGGAAGAGGAGGAAGAGCTTGACAGTGCTCACGGCTGTCAGAGGTTCTATGAAACTTGAGTTATGTTCATAAATTGTTCATACTTTATCACCTTCATCACACCACTCTAATCCCAGGTGCTGTTCTCGCGCTGAAACAACCCATTACTATCATAACTTTAGCTAGTCACTGTTTGTGTAAACACAACAAACTGGGTATGTCAATTAACTGATTGTTAGAAAATAAAGCTGTATGTCAAGTTTTATACTACATCGTTTGTTAAATTCCAAGTGTATTCAATCTTACCTGTTTTCTAAACTGATAGATAGAAGTACATTTGGTGGGGGCTCAATAAATAATATAATAATTCTTTAATTATTCATAAAAACACCGGGAGAAGGTAGATGACGGAGGAATCACTTGCCCTGTCTAATAATTCATTAAGTATGATAGACATCTAAAATTCCTTGCCTTCTCTTGTGGGTACCAAGTTCAGCTAATGTTAATATACTTAACGAGCCAATATGGCTGTTTTCTTGGATATCCAGGACTTTGTCTGAGAGCAACATAGCTCAGATTTAGTTCGGTGTATCTAGTGGAGAGAATGTGTTGAAAGGAAGATCCCTACTCAACAACATAAACATTTAAACCACGCGTCACGTCACAGATTGCATTAACATTGCAGGAGTCCCTTTCAGAGCTTTTAGTGTCGTGTAAGGCTCAGCAATTTTGTGTGGCGCACATAACTTAGTCACATTTATAACCTAAAGCTCCTTATTAGGGGTTTACCGTGACGATTAAAAAAAATTGTTTCCTTAAAAACTGATGATGATGATGATTGATTGATAATGATGATGATTGACTGATTAATTGATTGATTGAGTAATTGATGATTATGATGCAGGAGTCCCTTTCAGAGCTTTTAGTGTCGTGTAAGGCTCAGCAATTTTGTGTGGCGCACATAACTTAGTCACATTTATAACCTAAAGCTCCTTATTAGGGGTTTACCGTGACGATTAAAAAAAATTGTTTCCTTAAAAACTGATGATGATGATGATTGATTGATAATGATGATGATTGACTGATTAATTGATTGATTGAGTAATTGATGATTATGATGATTCATTGATGATGATGGTGATGATGATGTATGTACTAATTACTCCCTGTATTAGAGACAATCAAATAGACGTCTGATAAGAAGCACTTTAATTTAAGAAGCGGATTAATTCAATTTCGCTCAGATCACCTTTGCTTCTCAGGACACGTCCTGACACAATTTTAGGATTCATCGATCAGGATCACTTTGCCACATAGCAACCAGGGCAAGGGGAAGGGAGGCTCCGGGAAAATTCGGCTGGGGGAGGGGGGGGGGGGGAGTCAGTCTCCTGTATTGATTTTCTAGAGGAAGGGTGCCTGAGCCTTTTCAAACAGTATAATTATAGCGACAAGAATTTGAATAAAATGTATTTGGAATAGTAGGGAATTATAATCACATACTTTAAAACACAGCTAGGGGAGCCGGCTATTTTCCTTACAGATTTGTTGTTCACAGAGAAAGCCACCAGATTAATCAGAAAGCCACTAGATTCCCCAGACAGCCACCAGATTCCCCAGACAGCCACCAGATTCTCCAGAAAGCCACCAGATTTCCCCAAAAGCCACCAGATTTCCCAGAAAGCCACCAGATTACACAGACAGTCACCAGATACCCCAAATAACCACGAGACTCCCCAGACAGCCACTAGATTCCCCAGAAAGCCACTATATTTCACAGAAAGCCACCAGATTTCCCAGAAAGCCACTATATACCCCAGACAGTCACCAGATCCCCCAGACCGGGAACTTAGGGACCTGGATCGCCTGGTGTGATTCTTTTCCAGGTTGTGCCCATCTTTATCTCAATATCTTTAGACCCCACAAGCCACCACCTCAATTTCCCCTCTATAAAAAATGAGTTGGTGGGAGGGGAATAAAAGCCACCCCCGCCTTTTACCACGGGGAAAAAAGTGTGTTGGGGTAGGGGGGAGGTGAAGAGGAATTGAAGATACCGCTTGATACTTGATTATTATCATTATTATTCAAGGGAAGGCGAGACGGATATAAAATCAGACAGTTACTGGGACCATCGCAATTGGAACTCTTCGTTTGCTGCTGAAGATGGAGACTGAGCGCTTATGGGGGTGTCCCGAGTGAAATGATGTCGATTTTCATTCCAACATTCAACATATCATTTTTACTATTATTATTATTATTATGCTTTTTTTTTTCAATTCATAGGTGTCGCAATATGGGTGCTTGGCTCCCACCTCAACCCCCCCCCCCCCATCCCGTTTTCTCGTTGTCGCTACAAAGATCTCTGCCCCCCCCCCCCCCGCCCCCTACCCAGCAGCCATATGAAAGTATTGCTCCTAAACGCCTCAACTCTTCGCCATCTCGCTGCAATGGTGGGTCATTCAACTCAACCACTTTGAAGTCATTGTTTCCGCTTTCACAGTTCTTACTCTCAAAACAACAAACAAATTTCCAGTACAAGCTTCCTCGGTCGGCATTTCATGACCATCCCAACAAAATTAAATATTGACAACAGGCAACTCAGGCAGCCCTCACTGGAAGTCGTGTCTTTATTGTCTTTAACTAAACTGTTTGCTTAACTGTCTTTGAACATACCGGCGGCTGGAAACTTGTATGTTTGTTGTCGGAAGGATCATGCGATAAACTTTGTTCTGATCTGTGATATCCTATAGCCTAATGACCGCCAGATGTTTGTTGTATTGCTCCTGTACAGCCGATGTTACGTGGACTGTGAAGAACGGCAACGCCATCAAAGTAACAGAAGCCAAGCAGCTCAGCAGAAGTCAAACAAGCGCGCAACACACAGAAAAGGTATGGGGAAAAAAGAGGGTGGGGAATGCCCCAGACCATTTAACAACTCCCTTCCCTCTCTATATAAACAACAACAAAATTGGAATAAGAGAGAGTGGGAGGGGGTGGGGGTAAGTGGGGTATTTTGTGAATGGCGGCTAAGAGGCCGCAATTAACCATATATAGATAATTTCTTTATTACAAGTATTTGTTTATACATTTACAATTATTTTAAGTATATTACTATATTTATTTGTTATTATTATTATTATTATTATTACTAATATTAGCAGTAGTAGTAGTAGTCGTGCTGGCGGTGGTGGTAGTGGTGTTGGTGGTGGTGGTAGTGGGGTTGGTAGTGCGGTTGATGGTGGTGGTGGTAGTGGTGTTGGTAGTGGTGTTGGTGGTAGTGGTGGTAGTGGTGGAAGTGGTGGTGGTAGTGGTGGTGTTAGTGGTGGTGGTAGTGGTGGAGGTAGTGGTGGTGGTAGTGGTGGTGGTAGTGGTAGTGGTGGTGGTAGTGGTGGAGGTAGTGGTGGTGGTAGTGGTAGTGGTGGTGGTAGTGGTGGTGGTAGTGGTGGTGGTAGTGGTGGAGGTAGTGGTGGTGGTAGTGGTAGTGGTGGTGGTAGTGGTGGAGGTAGTGGTGGTGGTAGTGGTGGTGGTAGTGGTGGAGGTAGTGGTAGTGGTGGTGGTAGTGGTGGAGGTAGTGGTGGTGGTAGTGGTGGTGGTAGTGGTGGTGGTAGTGGTGGTGGTAGTGGTAGTGGTGGTGGTAGTGGTGGTGGTAGTGGTGGTGGTGGTGGTAGTGGTGGAGGTAGTGGTGGTGGTAGTGGTAGTGGTGGTGGTAGTGGTGGTGGTAGTGGTGGTGGTAGTGGTGGTGGTAGTGGTAGTGGTGGTGGTAGTGGTGGTGGTAGTGGTGGTGGTAGTGGTAGTGGTGATGGTAGTGGTGGTGGTGGAGGTAGTGGTAGTGGTGGTGGTAGTGGTGGTGGTAGTGGTGGTGGTAGTGGTGCTGGTTGTAGTGGTGATGGTGGTGGTAGTGGTGGTAGTGGTGGTGGTAGTGGTGGTGGTAGGGGTAGTGGTAGTGGTAGTGGTGGTTGTAGTAGTCTACGTCTTTCGTCTGTCTGCAGGATGGCTGCCTCGTCTGTTATTTCTAACATTCCATGATATTCTTAATCATGAAATCAGATGAATGCTAGGAATCATGCCAGTCTTACAGGTCATCAAAGAATAACAAATGAAGTGGTTTGGACACCTAACAAGAATGCCCTGGTACTATCTGCCACAGCTAGCCAAACTAAACCGTTACAACGGGTATAAAGCGAGTGGAAGACCTCGGACATGAACATCAGTCTTAATAGTGCTCTTGACAGAGCCCATCAACGAACATCACATCTCCCGCGACACTTCGATGAGGTACAAGGTGAAGGAGAAGAAGAAAAGGAAGAACATAATTTTCTTTGATTGACTGATTGACGTTTAACCCCACCGGAACATCACACAGAGCGATAAACGCCCTGTGATACAAAGTGTCACCATTCGTTTGAGGATCACCCAGGGATAGGTCCCAGAAAAACCCGTTCAACCTATAGGTGGGAGTTATATTAGGGCCTCCGGCAACAGCCGAAGGGGCCCCTTTTGCCATTGTGAATTTTGTTATAATTTCTGCAAGGCATTTTGTGTAAAATGCTAAGGGACGCAACCTTTACATTAAATTGTACACTAGATAGTTGTCTCCCTTCTTTCAGTACATTATCAGCATACACAAAATCCATTATGACCACATTGGTGAGAGAAAGATACGGAAGAAGAAGAAGACAACTGCGTGAGAAAAAAAAGAAAATGAGAATGACGAGAAGAGCGAGAAAGAAAAAGAAAAGGGGAGGAAAAGAAGACGTAGAAAAAGCTCTTTGTAACGTGAAGAGCTAGCAGTAAAACTGAAAGAAAAGTTTACAGTAATAAACGAAATGTTTTTTTATTTTGAAAGAATAAACAATTGGTCTAATCAGCCATAACTGCCCCTCTCATTTCACATTTTATTTCATTCATACATCTTCTAACAGGTAAATCTTAAACAATATGAAGAACAATCATAATCAATTCATAAATTCACTTGAACAAAATAACTACACGAGGGCTAACAACTTCAAGAGAAATCTTGAACATAACAAGAATGTTAAGAAGACAAATATGATAGGGTTAAGGAGACTCCTCCTTCTCCTCCTCCCCCTTCTTCTTCTTCTTCTTCTTCTCCTCCTTCTCCCGGTTCTTCTTCTCCTCCTTCTTGTTCTTGTTCTTCTCCACCTCCTCCTCCTTTTCATCAGCATCAGCAACATCTTGTGCATTCGCACTTAAAAAAAGCGCTTGGATCGTCGTCGTCGTATGGTTTCAGCAAGAGGGCGGTATCTACACCTTTGGACCCAACATATAAAATTTTAGCAAAACATTAATTCTTCTATTCTGTTACCCCCCCCCCCCCCCCTCCCATTCCCCCTTCTCACACCACCCAAATGTAGCTACAGAGCCCACACAGAGAGGAGACTCAATAAAACCCACTTCCTAAGTGTAGCAGCACTTGATGATGATGTTTTATTTGAGCGTTTTGGTAAGATAGTGTTGTAAAGGGAGAACCGGTGGGCCGGATTTGTTTCCCCTGAAAAGGGAATTGTAGGCAAAGTATGCTCAAATATTACCCCCTCCCCCGCGTTCGCCCTTAAACGGGTGGTTGGCACACTGTGGCTTACAGCTAGGTGGCGATATCTACACATCTCAACGTAACATATCCGATTTAATCAAAAGTTTAAATATTAACCTCTTATGACATGCTTGTATAAGGGACAATAATGGTATTCCCTTTTCTTCTTCACTGCAACCAAGGCAGCCCCACGGAAGAACAAGAAAAACAGCAGTCTAAAAATATTTCCTCCATTTCCTCTGACTTTCTAACTCTCTCTTCTCTCTCAGACACACACACTCCTACACACACACGCGCACACACAAATTTACAGACACTCGCTCACATTCATAAACACATACTCACATACACACAATCTAGGATGTCTCCAGAGTGAAGATAGAAGAAATGACTTTCCCACTAACACAGTATTTTTGTTATTTGAAGCCCCCCCCTGGCTTTTGCCAGGGGCCGCAATATAGGCAGGCCATAAATATGGCCAATTGTCTGAACGCGGTTTCTGGGACCTCTCCACGGCGATCCTCATTCACATGGTGGAACTTTGTGACATCGGGTGTTTATCGCTTGTGTGTTGTCCTGGTGGGGTAGAAAGTCAGTCAGTCAGTCAGGAGAAATGTTACCCTAATACTATTTGTCCCATTTAGAATGACATTTTTCATTATTTGAAGCCCTAATCTCGCTCGTGCCAGGGGCCGCAATATATCCTAAAGGCTGAACGCGGTTTCTGGGACTTTTCCACGGTGATCCTCACCCTCATGGTGGCATATTGTGTCATCGGGTGTTTATCGCTTGTGTGATGTCCTGGTGGGGTAGAATGTCAGTCAGTCAGGAGAAATGAGAAACAAGTTCGCATGGGAACCCTGTAGAGGCACTCTCCGTGTTTTCTTCCACCCCCCACCATTGTCCCACAATAAGCATGTCACAAAGGCCACTAATTAGGAGTATTTCGTTCACATTTGGAGTGCACATACGCAACAGGCCAGCAACCAACAGTGCGCGATAGGAAAACCAGATCCGTAATTGGAATGTGCACGTAAGTTCTGAGACAAAGACAAAATCCAGAAGTGGATAAACAACAACTTTCCGCTGGAGTCTACAGCCGATAGAAGCTACAGAAGAAGAAAAAGAAGATGTAGAAGGAGGAGAAGAAGAAGAAGAAGAAGAAGAAGAAGAAGAAGAAGAAGAAGAAGAAGAAGAAGAAGAAGAAGAAGAAGAAGAAGAAGAAGAAGAAGAAGAAGAAGAAGAAGAAGAAGAAGAAGAAGAAGAAGAAGAAGAAGAAGAAGAAGAAGAAGAAGAAGAAGAAGAAGAAGAAGAGTGAGAAGAAGAAGAAGAAGAAGAAGAAGAAGAAGAAGAAGAAGAAAATATGTCAGTGCTAAACAGACCGTTTTCACGCGACTCCAAGCCTAAATAACAATACAGTAATGGAACAATGTAAAGACATTCCTGAGACATTCCGCCCTGATGTTCAATGTCCCGCAGGAACTGTGTGTTGTTAAGAGAGCGAGGCTTGTGTTGTGAATGTCGCAGGTCCGCCGCCAACTACTGTGGTTGAAATGTGGAGGAGTACCTAACTGATGATCCCAGCCGGCTTAGTTTAGTCTCTAGAGAAGGGAGGCTTCTGCGCCTGGAACAGAGAAACAGGGAATCTCCGTTGAGGGTTATATTTATCTTTTTTTCAACGGATCAACGTCGGCGTCTGTGGCTTTGGCGTTGCCAACGCGATTCGTAATGCCAAGATGCCGGGTTCGATCCCAGCTACGGATGATTTGTCTTGCGTTGGTTTCGAAAGTGGTATCGAGAAGCCAGCCGTCCAGGAAGCAAAGGCAAACTACTGGACGTAAAAGTTGCCTAGAAAAACCACAACAGCCAAAATGCTGAGGTTGGTTTTGAAGTGCCCTGTAAAGGATACGCAGCTAATGCACCGATAGTCAGACAGATGCATCGTTAGACAGACAGATGCACCTATAGATAGACAGCAAATGCGCCGTTAGAAGAACAGAAGAATAAATGCGGTAGGCACAGCGTTTTAAAGAGGCTGATGCACCTATAGACAGACTGCAGACTACGTTAGACAGACATTTATATCGTTAGATAGGCAGATGCAGTTAGATAGATGACAGATGCACCTATAGACAGTCAGATGCACCGATAAACAGACAGGTGCCTGGACAGACAGACGCACCGATAGGCATACCGATTCACCGTTAGACAGACGGACAGATGCGCTGTGAGAAAGGCAGATGTACCGAAAGACACACAGATGCAGCAACATACAGACAGCAGATGCACCGCTAGAGAGACAGATGCACCGATATACAGACAGATGCACCGATAGACAGATAGGTGTACTGATAGATTCACCGATGAAAAGCCAGATAGGCCGATAGACAGACACACGTACCGACAGACAGACAGATGTACCAAAAGACAGACGACAGGTGTACTGATAGACAGATGCACCGATGTAAAGCCAGATGGACAGACACATGTATCGATAGACAGACAGATGTACCAATAGACATACAGATGCATCCATAGACATACAGATGCACCCATAAATAAACAGATGATGCGATTTAAAAGGTATATGCGCGGGTAAAAAGACAGACGCACCAATATACATACAGATGCTCCGAGAGACAGACAGATTCACCCATAGACAGACTATAAAGTGAAGCCAGGAGTGTACATGTCAACTTTGTGCAAAGTTGTCCTAATTTAATCACCTGCATATTTCTCTCTCTGTATCCTCGGAAAGTCTCCATCGCTGATTGTATTTCTCGTCTTCGTTGCGATTTTACAAGGTCTCTATTTCGTTCGTCGATGGATTCCAGTGAAAACACATTCTAGTCACCCCCCTCCGCTCCCATCCTCGTCATACGGTTCTAGGTGTTGCCATAATGTTTTTCTCTTACGGTACTCACCAACAAGTGTACAAAAGTGCAGGTGCGTTGTCGACTGGCGTGGGCGATCATGCCTGTCTGTGATCTACTGTAGCATGTATCATTTCGTGCGCTGACACACCTATATGCCATGCAACAAGACTGTCAAGAATCTTCTTTCGTTGTCTTCCTCTATCCCTCCTTCCACAGATCTTTCCAGTAGTCACAACATGTTCCATTTTCCCTCTTCTCATAACATGGCCGAAAAATGATGACTGTCTCCCTCTGATGTCTGTGATAAGTTGTCTTCAGGCTCCCGCCTATTTCAAAACCTCTTGGTTGCTCTTTTTGGCTGTCCAAGGTATTTTAAGCATTCTTCTGTAAAACCACATCTCTGAGGCCTCAAGAAATTATTTGGCCTGCCTACCAAATGTCCAGGACTCACAGGCATATGTTAAAACTGGATGTATGTAGCAAGCAATAATTCTTTTTCTAACCCTTAATGACAAAGATATATTGCATAAGATGTTTTTCCTTTTAAAATATGCAGTTTTTGCCTGTCCTATCCTGTTTCTTATCTCATTTATACA